GAAGAATGTTTCTTTTTTGAGCGTTTGGAATCTAATAACTATAACACTTACCGATCACGGAAATACTCTGATTGGTATGTGGCACTGAAAAGAACTGGACAGTACAAACCTGGACCCAAAACTGGACCTGGACAGAAAGCTATCCTTTTCCTTCCCATGTCTGCTAAAAGCTGATTTCCATGGCGGATTCCGAGTACATATATAGCACACTACACGAAAGACGTCAAGTTTCCTACTCCTCTCTGAAGTAGCAACAATCTGCAATTATTTCCTGATATTAACTGCTTTTGCAGATGCCAGATTAAAACATGAATGTTTCATATTGTCTTTATATAGCTCTTTAAACCTATCGTGCCAGTGTGCGTGGAGGTAAAATGACTTGGAAAATGTATTTTATTTTCCGGATCAGTAACACTTCTGTTTTCTGCTAGATAGCCATGTAGAGCTATTTTATTTACCTTACCGTTTGCTTTACAGAGTAAAGGAAAATGAATCTGATGCACACTTACAGCAATATTTACCTTTTAAAAATAATTTATAGCTTATTACAGAATAAATAATTACTTTCTAATAATTACCTAAAAAGAAGTCCACAGATAATTTTAATATGGTCTAAATATCACTACAACAATAGTTCTAAATTATTAATACAATGAAATGTGAAATGTATTGCTATCATGTAATGTTTCTATAGGACTCGGGCAGCTCCCTGTGGTATAGTTTGTAGAACAGGCCTGTGTAGACAGCTGGAAACTCTCTCATGGTTATATCAATCTTACCAAAGCCTTCCTGGTATCCGTAGAGTAAGAGTTTAGCTACGCTGCTGGTGATGGGAGTAGCGTGTTTGGTCCTAGCAAGCTCGTCGAGGTCCATCCATTCACACCTCAGGCACTCCTGCTGGCAGAAGCTGATGTTGAAGGAGGAGGGCTCCAGGCGACAGATGATGTACATATCCGACTTCCCAAAGGCTCCGGGCTGTTTGTGTTGCTGCCTTATGCTTAGGATGGACTTGAACTCTGACTTAATGCCAGTCTCTTCAAAAACCTCTCGAACTGCGGTGTCTCCTAGGTGAAAAGAGCAATCCTTACAATACACAGAAGAATAGCTTAACACTCTTTAAACCTTGTGATCATGGAAGATTTCTAACTCAAAGCGTTCTCTGTCCTGCTTCATAAGCTTTTCAGAGCGGAAGCCCATTTGTTTCAACACAAAGATAAGCTAATTTTTGGTCCCCGAACAAAACTAATTGTGACATGCCTTTCTTGTGTATATACTACCAAATGATGCAAGTAAGAAACTCCCTGTAATACTGTACAGAGTGTGATTCTGAAACAGACATTCTGATGGTCGCCGGCTCTGCTGAGCTCTTAATCCAAGATAGCACTGCACCCTCTTTTCAGTCCTCTGAATCTTGGTCCCCGTCTCTTCTTGCCGCTACCCAGTTTCGGGTTCAGACCCTGTGCAGCTCAACGCCTGTACGTATGTCAGATCACTCGATCAAATCACTTTGTTTCATTGCACTTTGCCACAGGATGTAACAATGGGGGTAAATCTGTTGTGTGCAGCAAGTGAAAGCCAGCACTAAGTCCTTTTTAAAATGTCTAGTGACACTTGAAATATGCCCTAATACCAGTATAGCACATAGCCTGTTCTTGCAGAAAACATGCTGTATCCATGGTACACATGTAAGTGTTAACATTCCTTGTTACAAAAGTAGCCCTAATTTCAGGAATCTAGAGGGTCTGTGTACCGCGCTTGCAGCCAGAGATTCGTCCGTCTGTCCAGTTCTCGAGAAGATTTCTCTCTTGAATAGTAACTTAAATTGAAGACCCCAAATGAGATTTTTGATACTCCGCTTATTTCCACAAATTCTGCAGTTTCATTGTAGTCAAGTCAAATCCACTCTTGCCTGGGGTAACTACTGGTAGGTAAAATACTAGCTTTTTCTAAATTTATGTAAACTCATAGTTGTGCCTTGTTTGAGTGGTAAATGCATATAGCTGTTTTGCAATGTCACATGCTTCAGCTAGTTCATGTTCAGTAGGAAATGTGTGTTGGCTTACTTCCAAAAGCAAAGTACATTTTACAAGACCTTGCAGAGATTTGCCTTCCTATGGAAGCCTGCATCTTGACATGTCAGAGGTGAAGAAGAGACGTTTTAGGGGTGGTTTCAAATACTGGAAATAATTTCAGGACATACAGTGACTAGCAATGTATAAACAAAATGATTATCCAGCAGAGGCCAAAGAACTATATATATGTTAATGGCCCTGATTTTGCACATTCTTCTGCCTCAGCTCAACTTCCATCTTGCAATTGAACTAGCTGTGTGAGACCCATTAATACACAGTGCCTGCACAACATTTATGTTTGTGACTTTTTTACAGTACTGATTAGTTAAAAGGCTAATGCATACAGGGAGGAAGCACGTGGGGGAAGGTACTGATTTACCATTCCTGACCCTCGGAGAGACTGCATTTTACAGTGCCTGGAGAGGCCCCTGCAGTCCTCTGGTTTACAACAGTGGTTGCAAAGCAGACACTGTGGCAAATGGTTTTACTGTTAGGCAAGGGGCTGCGTTACACAAAAGTGGTCAAAGAAGGTAAACAACCGAGATCACGAGGAATGCTGAGGAAGGCTATGGTAAGGAAAATGAAATAAATAGGGATTTCATGTAAGCTTTGAGCTTTGCTTTTAGATAAAGTGGCTTTTCCCGTTTCCCTTTTATTTAAATGTGTGTGCGTATATATAAAAATATATAATGACAGTTAAACCAGAAGAAACACTAGGGCTTGAGTTTCAGAAATATTCAAATTAAAAATGTGTGCACTTTGCTTAATCTGCATTATGAAACGATTCAAAGTACTCGTGCAAGTGACTTTGTACTATTAGAGCAGGCAGCCGTATATTGTGTCACTTCATGTAATAACAGGATCTTCAAGCTTTGTAATTGCAATTTGTAATTGTAATTTGAAATTTATTCCTTTGAATGACTGTGAGTTTATAAGGTTTGATGTAAGGATAAAAAAAAAAGTAAAATTAAGCTCGGTTATATTTTATGCTTCACTAATTTATATCTTCTTGTAATATTAAGATGTGATGCAGAGAATCGTAACTTTTATTATTATGTAGTTTAGTAGTGGCAGGAGGGGAGCTGTAAGAGACTTGTTTCCTCCCAGGTGTTTCTCAATACCTACATCCAGGCTCCAGCCATAACCTCACCTGTTATTTGAGGGTTGGCCACTGGCTTATTCAGTATCCCTGCGGGGGGAAGCTGTTGCCAGTGCTGGCCATTCTTTCCCCTCAGTACAAAAATCCCTCTGGTACCTCCTAGAAGTGAAAGGGAGCCTCACTAGACCACAAACACGGCATTTCAGACCGTGACATTCTGAACGCATGAATCTGTTTCACTATGTTACATGTATTTGCGTTGTCAAGCAAATAATTTTGATTTTTATCATCGTGCTTGACAAAAAGACTTAAAACATGACTCATGTTATGAAAACTACAACTTGGCCATATCCCACAAACTAGAAACTTTCTGTGTCTTGAAATGATGAATTGGAATACAGCCCTCCCATGTTGTTGCAGGAAGACTGCTAAAAATAGTAGATATTTCTAAGGAATGAAACAGTCGGGAAACCTGGGCTCGATACCCAGTTTGCCAGAGCTGTTGCATTGCTCTCCATTTTTCCATGAGTTCTCCATTTTTGAGTTATTAGAAGAGTATATTCGCATTTGAATACTGATGTGAGGCTAAATTAATGTGAGCAAATGTAACTTTTGAAAACAAGACCTACTTAATAACCACAGTATAACTTCAGAATTAACCAGTCTGTGGACTAGAATTTTAAGGGCTGAGATACAAGGAGAAAAAGTACAATTTTCTCTCTCTTGATACACGCCCTTGTTCATTCACCTCCGAACACATCCGCAGCAGTGTTTATCATCCCCTGTGCTATGCTGGGTAGAAATGATAGGTTTCCTCAAACCTGCACTGTGTTTTAATACAGAAGTGCCTTATGTCTCTGGTTGAAAGTAGGTACCCGTGAGACTTGGGTGCTGTACTTAACGCTGGTCCTCTGCCAAAGAGCTCTTAGTCTAAACAAATCAAAGGAACAAGGGCAGAAGGAAGCAAGAGTATTTATTTCTGGTTTGCACATAATAATGGAGAGCTGGAAATCTGTGCTCAGTACATCACTGAGTTCACTGCCCTGGATTCCAAAAAGCGAGCTGAGAGCTCGCCATTTCAGTTTTATTTGGGTAATATACCAGTTACCTTAATCCTCTGCACCTTGGGCTCACTACAGCATGTCCAACTAGCCTACAAAAAATACGCTGGTTTCAAGCACTCGTTTAAGAGAAATTGTGGAAAAGGGTAAATGTTATAAATATAAAGCTTCTATGCCCTGAACATAATGTTGCCCTGTTATTATTAAGGTCGTGGGATCATGTTAGTTCATCTCTTCACCATTAATTCAAAGAAGCCATTAGGCATAGGGTCACGATGTATTTCAGTACTGTTAATGCCTTGGTAATTCTGTTGATGCCTGACCTGTTATCCAAGGACTTACCAATGTCTTCGCCTGGATTAGACAGACCTCCTGGAAATTTCCATGCGTTTAGAGTCTGTATTGGAGGAAAAAAACATTAATGAAGTATGCAGCCTGTTTTGTACTCTAATATGGAGACAATTAACACGTGACGTTGTTGTTGAAGTTGTAGTATTGTAATTACTCTTACACATCAGTAAGGCTTTAAGTAGGAACTTCTTTGTTCTTGCTAATGTGATCATCAGAGATATCTGCAGTCTGTATGAAATATTGGAACAAAACATCTACTGATTGAAAATACAAACTGTCTAACAGTCATTAGACAATGATGCTGCTAGATAACTAGAGTAGTTGAATATTAAAAAAAGCTGCTAGAGACTATATAATCTTCTATTTAATCACTAATGTATTCCACTTTCATGGTTTTGGCTTTTAAAAAATGTATATATATTTAATCTTACAAACAGTTATTATGATTGTAGTACTGTTCTATACTGCACTGGCTTTAAGATGACTTTGTGTGTCTGTAATAACCATGTAGTGTAACTTGTTTGTTTTCACGGAATACAAAACCTGAGGCCTTGTGTGTGATTTATATATAGAAGCATTTATTGAATTGCA